CGTGGGCGCAAGTGACGGTGCTACCCCCCGAGTCGAGCAGGTGCCGATCGCATCGTGGAGCTTTGCAGAGCCGCCAGACCCTGAAGAGAGGGTTCCCTCGCGGTGTGGCGAGTCCGATCTATGTCCATTCACCGAGGCTTACGTAAGCTTCATGCTCACAGAGATCGGCACATTCACAGAAAGCAGGAAGTGCATCACCCTCTTGTCCTTTACAGGATTTGTTTGGAACGGGCCCTTTGGCGTTGTCTTGAAAGGTGCTAAAACTCCGTGCCACGGCGGAGCAGGCAGCAAGTGCAGTCGAAATGCCAACGGCATGCTGTTGCAGTCTCGAACAGATTTCTGCCAGGATAAACGGCTCCTGCGTTTAGAGAGCAAGATCAAAGCTTTGGTGCCACGCCGGTTACCCGAATACTCTTGCAGCGAACAATGAAAGTCTGCCGCTTCCGGCATAAGGCTTGGAGAAGCAATTGGAAGTGGCTGGCTTCTCAGTTTTGCAAAATAACTGACCGGCACATGGCAGGGATTCGTGGATAGAACGTGGTCTTCCAAGCTGTTTGCATGTACCCTATCGGGAGGTTCTTTGATTGGGATTGCTTTTGGCTGGCAGATCGTCTTCAGCTTCGGTGTTGAGGATTTCCAGACACTTGGGAAGCCCCCCTTAGGCAAGTAACTTTTGAACCGGGCATAAATTGAATACTTCAAAATAAATGGTAGGAGAACCGACATCAGAGTGGCGTAGGAAATATACACGCAAGCATTTTCGGAATCTAGGTTTCATACATTGACATCAAAAGGATTGGAAAGATCTGTCAACTAAGTGGTTGGGTATTGAATAATGGGCTCCGGCACAGTAATGTTCCAGTATGACTGCCTTGCTGACTAATTCTGCCAGTGACTCCGCATTCCTGTTCTCCAGACACAGATAGTCAAAGGATCTCTGGGCACGCAACAGTAAAGTCTTCAGGCTGTGCTCGAGGTGCGCGGTCTCCTGCTTTTTTGCAGTGCAGAGGGGCTGTCGAACACAACTGTGTTGCTGCTCCGCAAGTCTAGTGCCTCGACCACGCCGTGTAATCCGAGGCGAGGCGGGTTTGGCATAGTTGCTGCTCTTGCAGATGCGCCACTACCCTCAGTCCATCACGAATCAACCCTCGTATTGCGGCGGAGGGAATTAAAAAAGCCCACCAGAGGCGCCCAACATTTGAAACTGCGGAAAGGACAATGATTTTCGGTGGTGCCTCCAAGCCTACAAGAGTCGATCCGGCAAGCGCCGGCAAACGAAAAAGTGTGGTATCCTACCTGCACGGTCGTGAGCTTGTGTCGCAGGGGATCAAAATGCGGTACGCAGGTTTGGTCTTTTGAAGGCTTCAGCATTGCTTCTCGTGTTCCCTGCTGCACTTCTCTGACTTCTCAAGTTCCCAGGACAGCATGTCAAGTACACAAGTCCAATGCGGAGGGAAATGCAGCTCAGGCTTACTGAATCACTGAAGTCTGTTGTGCCACTGCCCAGGTGTGTGAGCGGCCCAAGCCTGGCCGTGAAAGCGCTCGAGCAATGAAAGCTAATTTTATTGAAGTCTGGCGCCACACTAGTCACTAGTACCCTAGACACGGGGTTGAAGCACTTTGTCCAAGATGGTGATTGCAATCTGTCATCCGAGAAGGGGTGCGGCACTGCCCAGACGGAAGGCTCTCTGAACCTCGAGCATAGAGGCATGGTGCAAGAGAGACTGGAGAGAAAGTGGATTCCTGCGACGACATGCCGTCGGACTGTGGCAACATGATCTCGTTACCCGTGATGTTTCGGTTTACGTTTGAGTCGATGAACTGTAAAAAGAGATTCAGCAGCAACAGCAGCAGACCGCGGACCGCCAAGCAACGCATTCCTGACTCTGTTTTTTGCATTCCGGATACTGCAAGCTGCAGGATCTAAAGATGTAGGCCAATGGCATCCAACGGCCAGCCCAGCCGTTCCTTGGGAGAGTTATGGGCCAGAGAGTGCCTTAAGCTCTGATCGCTGAGATGTGCATCAACTCTCGGATGCCATGCTGTTGTCGGTTGGTCATGTTTGATCACTCGCAAGGTCTTTCTTGGCCATCGTATGTTTAGCACAAAGAGCAGTATTTGCAAGCAGCTCATGGACAGCGCAGACCTCGGATCCTGCTGTAGACTGTTGCAATATCCGATTCTGATCCTTTCAGCGAGGATAAGCTCAACCATGGCAGTGTGCAAGGGTTCCCAAGCTATGAGGAGGTGCAACCATGTGGAGCCCAAGGCCAACGTACCATCCGTCGCTTCGCGCAGGCCAACGAGCTTCTCGAGCAGTTCCTGCGCTCCAATCCGAACGAGCTTGAGAAGCGGCAGACTTGCACTCAGCTGCGGCTGCCGTGGCCCTGCGGTCCTCCTGCCTCAGCAGCTCGGCGGCTGTCAATGCTGTCGTTGTTCCGAGGATCGGAACGAGCTTCCAGAGTCGGCGACGAGCTGAGAAATCCTCTTCCTCCCTTGGTTCGCCAAGTGCCGCCATGTGCCGCCTAAGACCGATGTACGCATACGTTCTGGCCACCCCAACTGGAAGGCTGGTCGAAGATGACCAGTGGCCTTGCTCCTATCAGTATATGCAGGCAAAACAAGCCCCAAGCACTGCTGACAGCTCTCATGCATGCTCGCGAGTCCGACTCCCGGCATACTTTCACCTCAATGCCTGGAAGTCTGCGAGAGCGAGCGCAAGCAAGGCCAGCTGGCTTGACTGTCCTGCTGTACTTCCTCGGTCATTTGCTGGAGAAGTATAGCCGTGGTGATCCTGATGCAGCTTGGCAAATGCAGGTGATTGCAAAGACCATGTCATGTCTCATACTTGTTCTGTGGGCGGAAGGTTGGCTGGCAGAATCACATATGCTAATTCTGCTTCATCTACGAAGTCTGGAAGTCTGGCTTTCCTCAGCTAGCACAGGGTGCCGATGACTGAGTAGTTGGGCTGAGCCTAATTAAGCATCTTAGCATGTCCGACTCTTAACCTAAACACTCTGATTGAGACCTTACATTCCTTGAACACCTTCTCAGGCTACTTACATTCTGAACATGCGCGAAATCTGGTTCCTGCCCTTTGTCAACCCTGACGGCTACATTGCTAACAAGGCTCAAGAGTTGATCATCCATGAGAGAGCCACAGCTGATCGGTGCGCCAGGGTTTACGCAACAAGGCACCTCGCGGTTTCAGCAACTGTGTGCTCGAAAATTGAGCCGTCTAGCTTGCTTGAGCCAGGTGATTCGGAAGAACCGGCGACCGACGTGCAGGTCATCGGTCGATGGCGGTGTCGACATTAACAGGACCAGCCATGCGCCAGTCGGAGAGCCGAAGGCAAGGAAGCATCACAACAGGAACTTTGCCGTGCATTGGTCCAGCAGCTTTGGTGGATGCAGCGAAGAGCATGGTGGATCGCCACCGGCTTAGCGTTTGTAGGTGCTCGCGCTGCACAGGGATGTCAGAATCAGAATTACTACGCTATGGTCGGTTTGGGTTTCAAGCTTCCTCGGCTTGTCTTTAGCACGGACCTCGGCCGCAGGTTGGGCCCACTGGCGTATGTTTGCTACCAGTATGATGGGGTTCGTTCTGGCTTCAAATACAGCAAACAGAACGGGGAAAAAGTCCGTCTACTGTTTGAGTGTTGTCGAACAGAGTGTAATACACAGTCTATATAGCCCAGCCTATAGCTATAGCTGTTGTAGTCAAAGCTTGCAGGAACTGTCTTCATTTCCTTGATTAGTCCAGACGGCCCACGGCTCGTCAACTTGCAAACTATTCCAAACCGAGTTTGGTAGGTCGCATGTGCTGCCACAATCACTGTCCACCAGGCTGAAAACTGTCATGCCTCGGCAGCAGACGACTTCCAAAGTTCAGAGAAAAGACCAGGTTTGGGTCATGCAGATGGCGACCTCTGTCTTGGTCAGGCGGTAAGCAGCATAGTGCAACAAGGACATGGTGTACTTCTGCACAGCGTATGGCTCCTCATTTTAGAGACTGGAACCCGGGACCGGAGACGGGTCAGGTGTGATCGTAAGAATTTGATATTATCTGTTCTCAGCAAACTGGAACGACAGCCGCCAAACGGCCCAAAAGCGGCATTGGTCTCAGGATGAATTCTTGCGCTTGCACCCTTCGAAGGAATGAGTCCTTGCTGAGTTATTGCAAATCCCAGCCAAGATGCGAGGCAACCTTTCTCCGAGCCTGAGACGCAAGCCTTCAAAAAAATCTGCGAGGACCGACAATGCCTTCAAAATGTGGTCCAGATCCTTGCAATCGATGCCTGAAGCAATGCATGCAATGCAGACAGCCTTCCTGAACCTGTCTTGTGAGGAGAACGCGTTCAAGACAGCGATGAACTTCCATGCCTATGGAAGCATGCTGACACACCCGTGGGCACTCAGAAGCCAACACGTGGCGAGGCATTCTGCACACTGACATGCTGGTGAACATGCCTGCCGAGGTTCAACTGGGCAACCCAGGACCTCATGCCTGCAGAGGACAAGAGGGTGTACCAGGAGATCGCTCGGGTCTTCGGCTTCTTGAATGAGCTTGGAGCTTGTGCACAAGAACGGTCAATTTCTATAACAACAGAACAGTATGTCAGTAGTATGTATCTCGAGAGCCCTTCTCACGAAAGCTCTCCCCCAGAGAGCCTTTCAATAGTCAGAACTTGTTCTGCCAGCAGGCTTAGGGGGTGTGGGGTGGGGACCCGCTAATCTCCTTGCTGGGAAGGGAATTTGGGGCGTGTCCGCCTGCCTCCTTTTTTGGCTCCGGCGGGCTTGTTTTGAAGGGTGCAATATAACACGCCTTCATGGAGAAACGGGCCTTCGATGACGCTGACGATGTCTGCGGTGCTGGGGGTGGGGAAGGGGGGGAAGGGCAGCGTCCATGATGCTGTCACATGTTTCAAACCTCCAGCCGGCAAACTCTCTGCTGTGGCCTTTCTTGGGCTCGAGCGGCTGGGCTCACCTGCCGCATTTGACTGGCAGGCAAACTGGTGTTCCAAACTCCATTGGCTAGATCCAGCCGTTTTGGGGGTCAGGGGTTTGCGCCTTCAACCTCACGAAACCATCACTCATGAGCCTTCAGGGTCCTGTGAGCTGTAACTGGAAGTACGTCAATTAGCTGCAGGATTCTAGTGGTGTGTTGGGGGGTTATGGAGTGCGGTGTCTTGGGTTGCAGTGTCGATGTGCGTGGTGGGTGCACAGCACAACTTACTAAAAAGTATCCTTCAACCCTAAGCTTAGAGAAGCCAAGACTGCGAGGGTTAAGAATTCGGCGTTCCCAAAGCCCCTTACAAACCTAACATGGGGTTTGGGGTTTAGGCTACAATAAGGGTACTGTACAGACTATAGAGTTCAGGGTTTAGGCTAGTATAAGGGTACTATAGGGTTTAGGGTTTAGGCTACACGGATACAAGAGGGGTTAGGGCTTAGGCGACAACAAGCTCACCATAGTTTAGGGTTTAGGCTACTACAGGGTTTAGGGTTTAGGCTACTGTAACGGTACTTTAGGGTTTAAGGTTTAGGCTACTATAGGGGTACTATAGGGTTTTAGCTACTACAGGGGCAGTATAGTGTTTAGGCTACTATTGGGTTTAGGGTTTAAGGTCTAGGGTTTAGAGTTTGGCCTACTATTGAGTTAAGGTTTAGGGTTTAAGTTTACGCTCAGGGGTTTAGGGTTTAGGCTACTAAAATTACATAAAGAAATGCGTGCAGCCTGCAGTAATGACCATGACCATGACAGTACGTACATGCATGCGTGCTTGCATGTGCTTGCATCCGTACATGATACATATGTACACACATATACAGACATTTACATGCATACGTATATGGGCACATACAGGCAGACACATGCATGCATGCACGTCTTTCAAATCCACTATGTTTGCAAAACTACTCACCATGAGAAGTCGGAGTCCACTCATGTTTCAATTCTTCTGTTCTCAGCGTGAATATACTGCATGAAATTATTCGTCATGTGGAAATCTCAAAGACTTGATCCGATGCAATGTCTGAGAATTCTGAAAGAATCGCTCCAATTGTTTATATTATATTTCAACTATGCTCCCTCGCACACTCACTCACATAATCGCAGTCAAAATAATAAAGGCTTTGTCAGTCACTCACAGTCTCTGTCCCTGTCCCTCTCGCTCTCTCAGCAAGTAAGGCCTGTGGACTCGGAGAGCAGTGTTTGTTTATGTTGAGGTTTAGATGGCAACGGGTCTACAGCAAGTGATACAGAAGTTGTTTTTCAGGCCGTCGTGTTGTCAGTCGTGACGCGCTGGAAGCTCGCCCTCATCACCCTCTTCTTCTCCGCCTTCCGCCGTAACACCATGACCAGAAAGGTGTTTATGTAGACCTGAGAGTGTTGAGTCTCAGCGATGGAGGACCCGAAAGTGTTGAATTCCAGCGACGGAAGACCCGAAAGTGTTGAATCTCGTGTTGAATCCCAGTGACGGAAGACCCGAAAGTGTTGAATCCCAGTGATGGAGCACCCGAGAGTGTTGAATCCCAGCGA